CTTTAACTAGGGTATCACGGCGAGAATTCAAAAAAGCCCAACTCACTTCAATGGAAGATTTATCCTCAAGTATTTCATAATCCCTTTCCCAGTCAGCAATTTCATTCTTTAATTTCTCATTTTCAGCCAAGGCAGAAGTGTAAGAAGCTTGAAGAGAAGCATGGGAACTTTCCAAGGCACAAACCTTATTAGAAGAAGCTCAGAGGACTTCTTGTGCTTGAGTCAAATTCTGCACGAGCTCTCCAGTATAAGCCTCTTTCTCACCCAAGAGAGCCTTCAACTCTCTAATCTATTCACTTGCCTTGGACAGCAGCTCGGAGAAAGAGGTTTCAAGACGAGCCTTTTCTTTATCCGCTTGACTTGAGGAAGCCTTTTCAACTGCCAACTCTGAAGTCAAGGCCCGTACCTGCTGCTCCAAGATACTCTTACTTTCTTCTAAGTACTCCACATCAATCTGAAGGCTTTCATACTGTTCCTTCCAATTGCACGCCTCTAATTAAGAATCACGCACTAATTGGTCTGAGAGGGCAACCTTTTTCATCATCTCCGTGCCGATAAGATTAGCCTATAAAAAAAAGGAAGGGAAATGAGAATCTCAAAGATAGAAAAATTTTAAAGCACAGCAAAGGAAAAAAGAGAAGGGGAATACCTTTAAAGAAGCGTGCACAATATTATTCATCAAAGTCAAGGAGCTATGGCTCTCTAGCTTGGCTCTTTCAATTGGTCCAATTAAGGGCTTTAGCCATACATCTGTTTGACCAGATTTCCTTAAGAGATTGCCCTCAGCGGGGACTTCAATGATAACTTGCCTCATAGCACCACTCCTACTTGAGGAGCCAACTTCAGCACGGTGAATGATAGGGGGAGGAATTGTTGAAGGAGGAACAATAGAAGTAAAAACAGTAGAAGTAGTAAAGACAGTCTGGAGAGGAATGGAAACAACCGAGATCTGCAAAGAAGGAGTCACAAACACGGGTGTAGAAAAAGAAGATAGAGGTGCTTCATCAAAAACTGGGCCTAAGCCTTCACCACCAAACCCGCTGATAAAAAGCTGCTCAACAGAGTCATGAGCAGCAGCGGGAGCAACATCATCGTTAGGAATCACTACCGGGGCCTCAACAGACTCGGTAAAGGGAATAGAACGGCGGGGGGATGCTTCTTCTTCATCATCTGAAATGATGCGTCGTCGAGCCCGTGGCCTTGTTACCAAAGAGCCCTCGTCTTCCTCTTCTTCAGAATCTTGTTCATCAATGGCTTTTCTCTTCGATGAAGAACTCAAGATTATTTCTTGGGCCCTTTCCAAAAAGATACGAGAAGTCGCGACCACCTCGGCAGTAGCTCCTCGAATAGCAAATCCTGATAGAAAGAAGGATTGAAATTAGTGCAGAGAAATAAAAAATATATGTAAGATAAAATAAAATAAAAGCTTTTGCCATAAATTTTTACTTTCCAACCAAATCGTTTTGAATAGCTTGTCTACCCAATCACGGAAATTGGGAACATCTTCCACAACTCTCATGGTTGCTGGGAAAATAAAAGCAAAATTAGAAGAAAAATCAACAAACTTGAAGAAAAAGGTACGAGAAAGTCAGAAGACTCACATGCAAAATTCCACTTCTCAGGGAAGGGAATGTTCTCATCACCCACTAAACCAACAGTGGGGGCAGCAACAAACCTGGCATACCAGCCACGGTCTTTGTCATCTTCAGGGCTCACCAAAACTCTTTTGCTCCTGGCTACTACTGTAAAAACACAATTGCGAAAGAGTCTAGGGGAGTAAAGGTGGATCAGATGTGGGAAAGTAAAAGGCACACTGGCTATGTTGGTCAAATGTCTCAAACAGGCAACAACCCTCCATATTATTGGGCCAATTTGACCCAAGCAAACATCAAAGAAACGACAGAACTCAAGGATAACAGGGTCAATAGCTGGTTTAAATCCTAAAGTGAAAGGGTATGTATAAACAAAGGAAAATCCGGTTAAGTAGGAAGTAATTTTTTGATTCGGATTAGGAATGATAATAGGAAAATCATGACTCTAATGGCAGTCTCTACGAACTATAGAAATCAAACCTTCAGTAATTTGAGTGGGATAGATATCAACACGATCTAAAGAAGATACTTGGTTTCTAAGAGACTCTCTGTCATGATAAAAAGACAGTTCCGCAAGAACTATCTCTTCTACTGAAGGCTCATGAAGAGGTTCAGAAGGTTCTTTACCCCTAGAAGAAGATCTTTGTGAAAAAGAACCTCTAGTTCTAGAAAAAGGGCCAGAACTAGATGAAGGAATAGAAGAACCACGTGCAGATCCTAAACTATGGAGCCTACCTCCTCTTCTGCTCCTATTGGGGGCATTAGGGAAGGTATCAACAATGGTAACCCTTCTAGGGTTAGGGTTTGATGAAGACATGATGATACGATGAAGAAGCAAACAGAGATTTGAGAAAATTGGATGTTCAGAAAACTTTATGTGGTAAAGACAAATAAGGAAGTTATATTTATACTGATAAGTAACCGCCAAAGGAAAAGGTGCAATGATGGAAGGACCATAATAATGATAACTGACGCTTCGTGAATAGTGAAACCGTGAAAAAGCCTTAAAAAGTGCTGCAAAACTGCAGAACTAATGAAAAGGTGACACGTGTGAAGAGCATTAAATGGAAGTGACAATTGAAGCATCGATTCTATCATAGCATTAATGGTGACAAAAATCCTCATTTTAATGAAATCCACTTCCCAAATATTCAATCGATGAATAAATGGCAAATGTGGGATTATCTGTATTGGGAAAAATTGAGTTTACATATTAAAGTGGTGTAAAGATGACGTGTCATGACACATAGACTGGTCAAAGAGTTACAACTGGCAAAGAGGCACGAGTTGCAACAGATATGAGCAGAGGCAAAGGAAGAGGCACGAGCGCTTATCCAAAAGACTCAGCGCTCCTACTTATTTAAGTCTAAGAATCAAGGGGAATGAATCTGACACTACATGGGAGTACAAATACAGTATATTAATGAGCCTTAAATACTAAAAACGTTAGAGAATCTGTATTAAATGCAATGATTATGTAATGTAGCATTTAATGTTTTTAATTGTCGATAATAGCCTTATCATGACAAAGGCAAAACGCATATCTCCAAAATAGCAATAAAAGGGAGAGAACAGATCAATTATAGGGACACAAAATATTATCTGAATATACTGATTTACTTGTTTTTCTTCTGATTATCTTATTGCTAGCCAAATTACTTTCTTTCATATATTCTTTTGATTATAACCTGAGTTCTTCTAAATTAAAGCTTTGACCGAAATCGTTTTTTTGGCTAAACAGCAGGCTGGGTGCTTTACATTGCTTAGCGAGTGCTTAAGTGTAAGGGTGTGCCTAGCAAAACACTGCCAACTAATTGCTTTTTAAAAGTTTAAGTAATTTATAAGACCTGTAAGTTTTGTTTTGAAGAGGGCAATACTATGCAATAATTATAACGCAAAGTGAAATAGTACTACTTATTAAGAAAACAGTATGGAACACATGTTAGTGATTAAAAATAGGGAAATAGAAATTTAGTGGAAAAAATTAGTCCCCAAATACTTCATCAAAGAAATGAATCAATAAAATTGAATTAGAAACTTAAAGGAATAAAAAATTTAAAATGATCTTGAACTTGATTGACATGCTTTATGCTTCATATATGTTTCACTTTGTTTTTGAATTTATTTGTTCATATAATTGCTTGTCTGCGTTTGTTTCTATTTTTATTTTTTCATCTCCATCTTTCTTCACTTACACGTGTTTTTTAATCGTACTTTGCGCTTTAAACCCGAGCATACCTTGTTACTGGGCTGTGCACGGATCGGATCGGATCGGATTTAGCATATTTCGGATTCGAATTTCGGATTTCGGATTATAGAAAATGCAATCCGAATCTGATCCGAATTATATCGGATCGGATCGGATTTTAAAGTTTGGATCGGATCGGATATCGGATCGTATTATTATGCCTCAAAGTTAAACTAATATGTATATTTTCTTTGTAAAAGAGGCAATACATTAAGAAAAATTCATGTTTATGCAATTATGAGAGTACTATGGTGCCAATATAGCTAAATCTAGCAATTGTAAAGGTAATAACTTGGAGGTTGATGTAAATTAAAGTGTAGTATTTATACATGTCCTAATAATTTCGGATTTCGGATTGGATTGGATTAAAATATACCAATCCGAAATCCGAAATTTTAATAAACATAATCCGAAATCCGATCCAATCCGAAAATCGAAATTCAAAATTGAATGGATCGGTTCGGATTTCGGATATCCGATCCGAATGAACAGCCCTACTTGTTACACTTCTTCCCTTTTGCTTTTGACAAAACCATTCTGTAAAACACTTTACTACACTTGGCATTGAAGGAACTAGAGCCCATTGGAATCCAGTAATGTCAATACTGCCAAGTGTTTTTAGTTGATTATATACAAACAATTAATCAAATGGATGAAATGGAGAACAGTTTAGATCCCAAGATAGGAGGATCACTTCAGTAGTTGATTGACTTGATGCACTTTCCACTTTTAAGTTTTAGTTAAGGTGAAGGGAAAACACAGATGATTGGTCTTAGAGATTTTCATTAGCTTAATTCATAGTTATATCCATCTATCCATGTCCTTCCCCTTACTTCGCCTTTAATTTTCCTTTCACTACTGACTAAAGTGCTTCTTCTAATTCTTGAGGAAATTACCCATTTCCTTGCTGATTACAGATTAGAAGCTGCTTTTTAGCTGTTTTAGGGATACCATGTGCCTTGATTCTTTCATTACAACTAAAAATTTGAAGATTGTCGTAGTATTTTGCTTATAGAGTACCATTTATCCTATTTGTGCTTTCTTTTCTTGGAGAAATGGACCTTTTATTCCTTATCTTCAGTGATGGAACATTCATTATACTGAAGAAGAATCTGGGACAAATACTAGTTGAGAGAGAGGCCCTGGACCAAAAGCAGATATTGATAAACATTATATGTCATTCAAAAAGAGTAAGTTCCAACGAAAAGATTACCCCCGTGGAAAGCAAAAAGCAGAAAGTAGAACTGAACTTCAATGATATTGCACCAGCTCACAATTTCACACACAGCCACTGAGCATCCAGAGGTTGTTGGCAATTGTGTTTTTCCCATTTCTTGTGGCTGCACTGAACTCTTCTTAATGTGGAAAAGTTAGCTGCAGTCAATTCTTCTTTTCCTTTTTCTTTTTCCCTTTAGGCATCTGGTATCTAAATTTGTGCAGGGTAGGTTCACCAAAAGGTTTTCCATTAACCCGAGACCTCTGATTAGGGAGGCAAATATCTCATCTATTCCATCCGCTCCTTGGTGATACTGCAGTCAATTCTTTTCTTGTTGCAGAACTAGTACTTTTTGTCTTGTTGGGTCAATCTTTTACACTGGAGGGGCTTTTTCTTTACTTTCTACTCAGAAAAATTGCACGTATTGACTGCAACACGGTCTACAAGGAAGATCTCTCTTTACATATACAACAATGCAGAGAATTTAACAAAATCCTCTGTGGAAAACTACTTTAGTACATTTCTCATTATTCAATAGCTAGTTAGATTGATAATGATGTAAGGTACAATATTAATATTAGGTTTAGGGACTTGTAGTTGATCTTCTCTTTGCTGCATTCAGAATGAAGGGACAATTCCATAACTGCTATCTGCAATTAATTGTGTGGAGAACATCTGGTCTACTTCAGCCTCTACATCTGTTCTTTTCGCGAATCGACCTTTGATTCTTGGCCTTGTTTCTGCGTACGCTTTCCTTGAAGCATACCTTATGGTTTTCTCAAATTTACGGTTCTTTTTCTTCTCTCTGTATCTAAGGACTCTGGCTTCCCTGTCCATTGGAGTAAGCTGGGTAGGCATTTGAATCGGAGGGCCTGAGAAGAGGTCAATGGTCCCTTTTGGAGGTCGTGGGTGGGAGTTTGAAGTTTCACTAAGTGCAGATTCTGGAACAACACTAACATCCATGGACGACATCGAAACCTGATAATACATACAGATAAGAGTGTAAGTTTTATACAATGGCAATGTAAAGAATTTATATCAGCACAATTTAACTGATTATTGAAAGAGCAGCGAATCTTTGTTAAAGGTTTATGGTACAAAAGTTTTAGTGGCCTGTTTAAGATAAGAAAAGATAGTTACAGTAGCAAAAGTTGGGCAGCTAAAATGAAAAATCCTCTATTGAAAAAGCATGAATAAATCAGAAGCACTAAACAATCTCTTAAAAAAGTTGACTATGAAAATTTAGTAGTATCTCCGTAAGACAACTCATGAATTTAATCAAAGTGCATCTAATTGCCTGAAATGAGATACATGAATATAGTGAAGAAAACTTACACTGTGACTCATAGAAGCAGGGTAACCATATCCAGTGTTAGAGTTGTCATACTCCATTCCCAGCTGAAAACTCAGGTGGTGATTTTGCTGTTGTTGTTGGTGGTGTTGTTGTTGCTGTTGGTGGTAGAGAATCATAGATTTCCCATGTCCGCCCTGAACTGGCACCACGCTATCTCCTCCGTAGTTCTTCTGAGGAACAGAGTAATGTTGTTGCTGCTGATTAACACTGTATTGATCATTAAACTGACTATCCCCTCCATACTCCGCAAGATCCAAGTATTCATCCACTACTTCCCCACCAAACAACATCCCATAGTTACTTTGGTTGTTATTGTTGTTATTAATGTTCTTGTTGTTGTTCTTAACAGGAGGATTCAGCAATAACCATGAAGCTGCTTCATCTTCATCTTCTTCATCTATTGTCGTATCATCTGCACCCTGAGTCAAACTCAAGAACCTATCATCCTCCGTTGCATCCCCCTCGGGGCCACCAATCATCAAAGTACCACCGCCAAGGGTGTCAACAGCTGGAGGACCATACAGGGTACCTGCATAACATATTTAGGATTTAAATTTTATGGATTATAAGGTTTTTTGAAAATCTTTGTATCTGTGCTCAACTTCAATTAAAGGCATTACCTGGAATAGGGATAATTGGGACACGGTGGTGACGGCGTGCCAAGGGGTTAGCAGAATGGATATCAGCGTCGCAGGAGGCACAAAGCGAGGCAGCATCCGCCTTGCAAAGAAAGGCTGCAGGAGCACGCTCACAGGCCTCGCAAACCCAAACACGCTCATGACGTGAAGCCACAAGGTTTGCTGCATGTATGCGGGCGTCACAGCCCGCACACAAATAGGCGGAATCCGCTCTGCAGTAAACGGTACATGCAGCAGACCGGCAAGTGTCACACACCCTTGCCCAGTTGTTGCTGCTGTTCTCCTTTTTCAACATTGAACTAATTTTTGGCTTATTTTTTCTTGTTGTTGCTCTCTATTTTCTGTTGTATAACTTTGTACTTCTGAGTACTGAAGTTGTAGCAGGTATGCTGTGGACTTAAGAGGCACTGTGAAATATGAAGGGGGAAGGAGGGAAAATAACAGTAGGCAACTACCAAGTGGGAAGAGAATCCTCGGGCGGCACGTGGAATGAAGTTAATGGCTAGGAAAAGTTGTTTCATTATCTTGTGGTGGCTGGTGATTCTGGTGGGGCCGGATGGTGGGGACAGGCAACAAGGAGGTTGAAACAAGTGGGTCCACGGGGCTTTTGGCTTTTGGAATCAATTGAGGTGGGAGAGCTTTGTCCAAGAGATTGCCATTTAAGGGGAGTCTATAGTCTTACTGACACACTTCCTATTATTTAATTATCAGGTGTTACTGTAACTGTATGTATACATTGTAGCTGTGTATGCCTACATTCGTACAGCCTGGGACTCCACCATTACTTGGAACTAGGGGTGTTCATGGTTCGGTTGGATCAGTTTTTCCCTAAAAAGAAACCAAACTAAGTAAGTCGGTTTTTTAAATATTAGAACCAAACCAAACCAATTATGTCGGTTTTTTCTCGATTCGGTTTATGTCGGTTATTCGATTTTTTCGGTTATTTATCGATTTTTTCCTAAATATAAGACATACACTACCAAACACACATTTCGGCGACCACATTTTCAACGTAACACTATCAAATCAATTGTCCTTTGACAAATATATTATTTACCAAGATATATTGATGATAATTGAATCAAATAGTGATGAATAATTTAAGGACTCAATTAAAAATATATTATTTTTAACATGGAATAGATTCTTACATTTAACAAAAGAAAACTACCAATTAAACTAGAATGTAAAGTTAAATAATTGTACTAAAAGTGCAAACGATTAATATTTACTATAAAAATTTTAAAACTTTGTATAAAAATATACATATATATATGTGTAATAATAAATTTAAAATAGATACTCCTATATTCGGTTTGGTTCGTTTTTTTTTAATTAAAACCAAAACCAAACCAAATTTGATCGGTTTTTAAATTTTAAAACCAAAACCAAACCAAAAAGTATCGATTTTTTTTTGTCGGTTTGATTTGGTTTTCGGTTTGATTCGGGTTCTCGAATTTTTATGAACACCCCTACTTGGAACTTTCAAGAAGAGTTGAGTTTAATTGAATTTTTTTAAGGGATTGTTACACAAATAATCAACCAAAATCAATGTTTACATTTTCTAACATATATATATATATTGTACATGAATTATACATATATTATACACCCGTCGACTATTTTTAATTTAAAAAATTAAGTGGACGGTTATTTGGGTTAATTCTTCTTTTTTTAATATCATCATTCTGAAAAAATTTGTAACATGTAACAGTCATATTAACTCTTACATCTGAGAATTTAGAAAATAAAGCAAAATAGCGAATAACTTGCTATAATTCGTTAAAATACACTGCATGATGTAAAAGTTAAGTGTACTGCCGATTTATATAAGTTAAATACAGAAAAATTCGAAATTTTTAGTCAATAATATAGAATGTTGTAACTACCTTTTTTTTTGGTAACAATGAATACAAACTTAAGTATAAGTTTATGTTGTATGAGATTAGAGAATAAATAAATGTAATATTACATTTTCCTCCTGGCATAGGTTGCCCTCCTTGCTAACAAGCTGTTTTTGAGTTGCCAAAAGAAGGCATAGCAAGAATAAAATATTTCCTCTTTGACACATTGTTCACCTGACACATTGTTCTATTCTCTCGTACCCTGCTTGTAAGATTATATGTTAAAACAAAGAGTAATGCTCGACTGATGTCACTAAGTGAGATTATATTGAGTTGTTGTTGTTGTTGGCTTTAAATTTTACTTGAGCCTTTGCCAGATGGAGAGCGTTTTGTAGAGTCTGATTTATTTTTTATTTTTCTGGTTTCCCACTTGTTGTCCAGTACCCACATTGGAGCCCGACTATATCTGGATTCGTACCGCGTAAGCCTCATTCGGTTACCAAGGATTTTTCATACCAAGGCTCGAACCTGAGACCTTTAATTAAGGGAAAAACAATCTTATTCACTGCACCACGTCCTTTGATGATAGAGTCTGGTTAATTTCTAGATACTTAGATGGAACCACTTTCTCCATTTAAATGACAATATTTAATTTGCAAGCCAAAAAATTATTGGATTTCTATGTTGGGAACCTTGAGATTCTAAATAAAACGACAAACTCAATTTAATCTCATAAGTGGGGTTTGGGGAGAATAATGTGTACGCATTCCTTACCCTACCCGATAAAGATAAAGAGACTGTTTCCCATAGACATTACAAATAAAGGTCCAAGAACTAAAATTTAAAGCGGTATATATGGAATGTGACAACCATAACAAAAAGTTACTCCCTCCGGTTCACAATAAGTGACCAACTTGTTTTTTCATTTTAGTTCAAAATAAGTGTCCAGTTATGTAATTAAGAAAGAATTCAATTTGTTTTTACAGAATAACCCCTATGTACATATCCCTAAAAAAAATTCTTAGTCCTCACATTAAATGTTTAATTAGGGGTAGTTTAGTCATAGTAGGTATTTTTGTATAGAATTTAGTATTTTTTTAATGGGCATGCTAAAAGCAAATTGATCACTTATTGTGAACCGGAGAAAGTAGTAACTTACTGGATTTATTTTCCTTGCATCCAATAGTTGAAATCCATTAGTTATTTAATTCAAATTTGTGTTATTAGGCCTATTAAAAAGGTAAAATGGTCCTTACCAAAAAGTTTGAGCTGTATTATTGTTACTCTGGAAGTTGTCATTCTTGAATTGAAGAAATTGGAGAATCAAATGCAATGCACATTTTTGCATCATCCTAAATTACAAAGCAAATTATTCTGAGAGCACATTCCCAATATACCCATTACTAATGTCTACGTGGTGCCTTTTGTGGGGCTTTTGTTACCAATTCCTAATGCACAGGGAAAACGTCAGCATCAAAACACTATTGTTGTGCACAATTAGCCAACTTCAACATCACTTTTTTTCTTTCAAACCTTCAAATGCGCTGTTTTTAGGATAAACCCAAAACGAATTTTCGAGACCTCGTGGCTGTTACTCAGTCGGTCATTTGAGAAGCTGACTCACACGAGTTGTGTACAAAAATTCTACCCAATGGCTTGTTGCCATGTGGTGTGCAGCTGGATTGAGATCCGCCTTAACCACAAGTTTTAATGGGCTAAGACTTTGGGCCCAATTCACATGGCTTTTGGGCCCAGTGAAAGGTAAAGCCGCAATCAAAACCTTGTGAGATGGACACAGTGATGCGGCTGTGGCCTTTCAACCTAATGCATTACAGCCACTACTGTAATATCCCTAAGTTGTCTTCATTAGCTTTGGATTTGCTGTCTTGATCAGCTTCAAATGTTGAGTCAGTGTTTGATAGAGATGAACAATTAAAAGTTATTCATCCCCAGCTTTCCTCGCTATTGGCCTCTAAATGCTGATTTTAACTTTTACTTTTGCTGTCACTTCTTGATTTTTAAGATAGCCTTGCGTAAGTCGGCTGATGACCAAGAACACAGTCAAGATAAAATCAAAATTTTACCAAACTATGGTAGTCTCTTGGAGGGTAGTATTGGCAAACTGTAAGAGGTCGTTTGGTAGAGGGCATTAGACAAAATAATACATGTATTAGCTTTGTGTATTAATAATACATTGTTTAATACACTTTTTAAATTTATGTATAACTAATACAAGCATTAGTTATACGTCCTATTTGGTATTATCCGATGTATAGTTAATGCATAGCAAATCATAATATTAGCAATACCAAGGTTATTATATATGCATAAGTTTGGTTAAAGACATAATTGCCCTCAAATCCCTCAAAACCTATTCCAAATGCTTTCCGCCATATTTTGTATATCTTTATATTGTTATATTTTAATTAATTTTTTTCCTTTAGCATTCTACTATAATAAAAAAAATCATATTTAATATTAAATTTGATTTTGAATTCGTTCAAAGTATAAACTGAAGTTTTCTTTATTTGCTAAAATTTACCTATTTGTCAATAATTGGTATTTTTTACTATATGTCATAGCAATTAAATTTTTCTTCTCTATTAACTTTAATATTTCAACCAGTTTTCTCTTTTAATTTTGCTCTCGAGTAAGAAAAAAAAGTTGACTTTAGAAAGAGTAAAGATTATGGAAGGTAATAAAACTGTTGCAATAAAAATAATGTATAAAGTTAAATAATTTAGAGGGTATTTTGTAAACAATCAATAGAGCGGTGGTTAGACCGGCCATGTTGTATAGGGCTAAGTGCTGGCCAGTTAAGAACTCACATATCCAAAAGATGAAAGTAGCTGAAATGAGGATGTTGAGGTGAATGTGCGGGCACACCAAAATGGATAAGATTAGGAATGAAGCTATTCGGGAGAAGGTGGGTGTCGCCCCCATAGATGATAAGTTGCGGGAAGCAAGTCTCAGATGGTTCGGGCACGTCCAGAGGAGAAGCCCAGATGCGCCGGTGAGGAGGTGTGAGCGGCTGGCTTTGGTGGGCATGAGGAGAGGTAGAGGGCGGCCTAAGAAGTATTGGAGAGAGGTGATCAGACAGGACATGGTGATGCTTCAGATTACCGAGGACATGGCCCTATACAAGAAGTTATGGAGATCGAGCATTAAGGTTGTAGGTTAGGAGGTAGTTGAGAATATTTCTACGGCGCCGCAGAGTGAGGCTAGTCTGTTAGGACTTGATCTTTGATTGTTAGTGGTTTATGTTGAGTTCACACTACTTTTTCGTTCCTCTTTGATGTGTTTTATCTACTGATTATTGTTTTGCTTTTCACTTATTTTCTGGTTCTGGTGATGCTGTTCTTTGTTCTATGGTTTCTATTGAAGGTACTGATAGATTGCTTCTTTTCGCCTTCTTTTTGTCTTGTTGAGCTGAGGGTCTTTCAGAAACAGCCTCTCTACCCTCTTAGGGTAGGAATAAGGTCTGTATACACACTACCCTCCGCAGACCCCACTAGTGGAATTTCACTGGGTCATTATTGTTGTTGTTGTTGTTTGTAAACAATCA